TAAAATTAAAAAAAAAAGAATATATATAGGAAATTTTAGTACACTTTTTTATAATACTCTTCCATCTGGCAAAATCTGTTATTTTATAAAAATTAAGACGAGAAAACTCAGGGCAACCAAAAAATGAAAAAATATAGTTGAACTATTTTCCTATCTTTTCCAATACTATTACACATCCATTGGACAAATTAGGTCTCTGGCAAAAGTTTCATTGTTTTTGACTGAACTGACCTGTCAGTTTTGTCAGCCAACTCAGTGGGAAAGTTTTTCACTCATTTGCTCTGTTGTCTAAGTGGACTGGCTGTGTTACCATTCCCTACACCCAACCTGGATATACCACAGAGGGTTTTTTTAATGATTTTATTCATCTATTCATGAGAGACACAGAGAGAGAGGCAGAGACAAAGGCAGAAGGAAACACAGGCTCCCTGCGGGGAGCCTGATGTGGGACTCCATCCCAGGACCCTGGGATCATGCCCTGAGCCAAAAGCAGATGCTCAATCACTGAGCCACCCAGGTGCCCTACCACAGAGGGTTTTCAATGAAGGTTTTTCAGATTATCCACTCATCCAAGCTTCACTCTCTTTAGAGTCCACAAATCATGCTGTCATCTACCCAACAAACCTTCATTAAAGAGAGAACAGAAAATTAACAGATTACTAGTAAGCCAAAATTTTTCTCTGAAAAATAGTAAAAGTTCTAGTAAAATTAAATGTTTGACTCTTGCAAAAGCTAGAGAATACTCAATATTCTAAATCTAAAAATCACCTTTTTATTCACTGTGCATTCTGACTTTGACTAGATATAAGCAAATTCTTGTTTGATTTGCAAAACCAGGTTATGTCTTAATTTTCTGCTATGAGAGGTAAGTGTAATTTTTAAAAGCTGCTTTCTTTCAGTCAGTAGTAATAAAATAATCTATTGGGACTGCAAACTGATACAGCCACTGTGGAAAATAGTATGGAGCTTCCTCAAAAAATTAAAAATAGAACTACCATATGATTCAGTAATCACATTACTGGGTATTTACCTAAAGATTACAAAAACACTAATTTGAAAGGTTATATGTATGCCTATGTCTGTTGCAGCATTGCAATAGTCAAATTATGGAAGCAGCATTGACAGATGAATGAAGAAAATGTGGTATATATACAATGGAATATTCAGCCATAAAAAAGAATTAAATCTTGCCATTTGCAAAACATGGATGGAGCTAGAGTATATAATGGTAAATGAAATAAATCAGAATAAGACAAATACCGTATGATTGTATGATTTCACTCACATGTGGAATTTAAGAAACAAAACAAAGGGGGGGGAGGGGAAGAGAGACAAACCAAGAAACAGATTCTTAAGTAGAGAACTGATGGTTACCTAAGTGGAGGTGGGTGGGTGAAACAGGTGATGGGGATTTCACTATATTATATACCTGAAACAAACAACTGTATTTATTAACTATACTGGAATTAAAAAACTGTAAAGAAAAAAAAAAGAACCTAGAGTTCTCATTTTTCTTTCTTTCTTTTTTTTTTTTTTTTGAGTTCTCATTTTTCAATGCACTGTGGCAGGATCCTCTATATTTTCTTCATTCTATCAGCAACCCAGATGAACAGACACTACTCAGCAAGTATATTTAGTCAAAAATAATTGCCCTCGGTCTCTGTGAAACATCATGTGGGTTACAAAAACAAAAAAAACCCAAGGCATGTGTTTTCCCTTTCTACTAAGGGCCTACAAGCTAAAAGCGCTATTATAAGAGATACAGTAGGTTACAAAGACTAGGCATATCTGGGTTTCAGTGTTAGTGCTGACCAAGTCTCTCCTTAATCAAAATTTCGTTAGGCTCCTTGGAACTCTCTTCTCAACCAGGAATTGACTTTTTGGGCTTCCTCGTTCTTCCCAGCCTTGTCTAATTTTAGCAGGAATTCTGTTAGCTGGGTTTAGCCAGAAATCCCCTTTACCTCAATATAGTAATTTCCTATCCGTTGATTCCTCACTCTGCTCTTTGGCCATCAATGTCTCCTTCTCCTTGTATTCAGAGTTGAGCCCAGTTGTACACTGAGCTCTCTCTTCCCCTATTACAATAGCTTTTCTGAAAAAAAGTCTTTATTGCTTTAACTATTGTCCAGTTCTTGTTTTTTTCTGATAGCACCAAACTAAGTGTTTTTAAGTTACAAGCTTTTTGGGTTTACTTATCTGTAAGTTTAAGGGAGATGGGAATAGAATGAATTCTAGGGACCCTTGCCAGGTCTAAAATTCCCATGAAGAAATCTGGTAAAGGAAAAGGAGATACAAAAAATTATGCAGTTTGGACTTGCTGGAGGTCATGGGAGCTGTAAAGCCACGATGTCATCCAGGTCTCCTAATTCCTAGCACAGTGTTTATTTAACAAAACAAGCAGCCTTTACCTCAATGCTGAAACCAAAGGCCTAACAAATCCAGTGAAATGCCATGGCACCCACCCAGTGTGCTATTTCAGCCCAAAGTGCTTCCTTCATCTTACAATCTATTCAGCTTTCTTTAATCTCGAAGCAATATTGGTTTCCTAAATCATTTTTCCATTCTGAAAATATAAACGGTACTATTTTTGACAATAAGACTGGTATAAAACATAATTAATCTTGAATTTAGATGGCAGCAAATATTAAAAGATTTTATTCTCTCTCCTACCGATATTACCTTCTTGTTTTTAAAAAGTCCCCCTCAGTTTGGTTTGGAAGTGGGCTCCTACTGCTTTATTTTAAAAAAAATGGCTCAGCAGAATGAACACATACGATGCCAGAAGCAATTCTACATCTGACTCCAGGACTGTTTTGCAGCGTGACCTCAGCAAGATCAATTTACTTCCTCCAAGTTTCAGTTACTTCACCCATATCCAAAGTGAGTTATAAAGTGATAAGACCAAAGACGTGAAGTTTTAAAGTACTAAAAATCTTTAAGAAACAAAACAAGGGGGATCCCTGGGTGGCGCAGCGGTTTAGCGCCTGCCTTTGGCCCAGGGCGCGATCCTGGAGACCTGGGATCAAATCCCACATCGGGTTCCCGGTACATGGAGCCTGCTTCTCGCTCTGCCTGTGTCTCTGCCTCTCTCTCGCTCTCTGTGACTATCATAAATAAATAAAAAAAATTAAAAAAAAAACTTAAAAAAAAAAAAAACAAGGGAAAAAAAAAAAAGACAAACCAAACCAACCAACAAACAAAAAACAAACCAGATTCTTAACTACAGAGAACTGGTGGCTACCAGAAAGATGCGGGAGGGAACAGGTGAAATAGGTGAAGGGAAATAAGAGTATACCTATGGTGATGAGCACTGAGAAATGTAGAGAGCTGTTGAATCACTGTATTGAACACCTGAAACTAATATGACACTATGTTAATTACATTGGAATTAAAATCTTAAGAATATTAAAAATCTAACAAACATGGTGTTTGCATGCCATGGTAGAGTCTCAAATATCCACCTTCTTACTTCTAAACGTAGGACTACATTTGATAAACATATTCTGCTGCTGCTGCTTGGAATTTTTTTTAATATCACACTGAATAACACCACTTCCTCCTCAGTGTCTATGCCATTTTCTACTGAGAGACAAGGAACAGAGTACAATACTTTAAAGTTAAGCAGTCTTAGGGCAGCCCGGGTGGCTCAGTGGTTTAGCGCCGCCTTCGGTCCGGGGCATGATCCTGGAGACCCGAGATCGAGTCCCACGTCGGGCTCCCTACATGGAGCCTGCTTCTCCCTCTGCCTGTGTCTCTGCCTCTCTCTCTGTGTGTCTCCATAAATAAATAAATCTTAAAAAAATAAATTGTAAAGTTAAGCAGTCTTGGAACACATACAAATACGACCATCTTTTCTCCCCACTTTCCAGTTATCATCCTCTAAAGAATTTATTTTTTTGAGTATTTTTATTTATCTATGAGAGACACACAGAGAGAGGCAGAGACACAGCAGAGGAGAAGCAGGCCCATGCAGGAGCCAAAGCGGGACTCGATGCTGGGACCCTGAGATCACGCCCTGGGGCCAAAGGCAGATGCTCAACCGCAGGGATTCCCCCCCCCCTACAGAATTTAAATTTCGCCAGTAAAAATCTTCTAAAACGTTACATTTTCTATCAAACACAAGAAACAAAACGCTACATTACCTAGTAGTGGCAGACAGCATTTTTTAACACCTCGAGCGTTTCAATTTCCTGCTCACTAGCACATTATGACATCACTGCCTTCCAGTGTTTGGGCTCATGAAAAAATTCTGTTTCCATTTTGTTCCCTTACCTCCAATACACATTATTGCCAACGTTCCATTGTTCCCATTCACTATTTCGGTGGAGAAACGTGATAAAAATGACTTTGTGTTTGCACACTCCTTTGCCCGGCAAAATAACGCTTTCTCTCATCGCAACTCAACTGGAAAGGTCAGTTTCTCACCAAAAGGTAAGATCTAGACAAGATCGAATAGCAAAAGCGAGGCCCAATGGGGGGGGGGGGCGGGGGAGGAGTCCATACAGCACCCAAACACGACGGATTCTGGGGCTTCCAAAGATAAACAAAGGAAGTTGATTTTCCCACGACGCCGCCTGGGCTTCCACCAACCCGAGGCATTTGTGCGGAGCCCACTGAGCTCGTTACGCTGATGGAAACGCAGTCCGGGTGCTGAATCTTTCTAAAGGCTCCCGTTACAGGTGGACATTGCAGAAAGTCAAGGGAGGCAGAGATGAATGAGCAGCTGAGCGGGGCTGACCTCCGATTCCTTCCTCCCGCTCCTCCAAAAACCCTAAACACCTGCCAACCCCAACATACCGACATCGAGCTGCTCTGCTGCTCAAAGCACAATTTCAGGCGCAGGAGAAAGAAGGGAATGTCGCGGGGGAGGGGAGAGGGGCTTCAGGTGCGGCGAGCGCGAGGGGCAGGTGCGAAGTTCACAGGGGCCCAGGGCGCTCAGGGCCGCGCCGCGGGCGACCGCACGGACGGCCGGGGGCGGCGGGTTCGCGCCCCTTCCTCACCTGGCAGCCCTTCTTGTGATGAAAGCCGACCACCACGATGTGCAGTACGGGCCCCCGGGGGGCGCCATCGCCTCCCCGCCCGGCCTTCTCCATGGGCGGCCGCCGCGGGCCCGCAAGCCGACTCCAACCGCCAAGGGAGGCGGGGCCGGGCGACCCCGCGGTCCCCGGGAGGACGGCGAGCGGCGGATCTCCGGGGTCAGCGCCGGCGCCGCATGAGGGCCGCGCAGGGGGCCGGGAGGAGGCCGACGCTCCCGCAGCTCCGCGCCGCCCGCCAGGGCCGCGGCCGCGCTTCCCTCATCCGCTTCCGCTGCTTCCGGGCTGTCACCTGATGCGGCGGCCGCCGCCGGCGAGACGGGGCGGGGCAGGACCCGGAGGGAACCTGACGGGGCGGGGCCTGGGGCTGGGGGCGGGGCCTGGGGCCTGGGGGCGGGGCCTGGGGCCGAGGCACAGGGCTGGGGGCGGGGCCGGGGCCACGGGCGCCTCTCTCCCCTGCCACTCGGGTGCTTCCTTAAGGCGCATCCTCCTCTTTTGCCCTCTTAAAGATTTATTTTTATTTATTTATTTATTTATTTATTTATTTATTTACTTACTTACTTACTTACTTACTTTGATTTATTTATTTAGGCAAAGACACAGGCAGAGGGAGAAGCAGCCTTCATGCCAGGAGCCCAATGTGGGACTTGATCCCGAGGCTCCAGGACCAGGCCCTGGACTGAAGGCGGCGCTAAACTGCCCTGCATGTCTATTTTTATGATGACATTTATCTCCAGAAATGCTTTTCTGAACACATAATAATTTGAGCCTCCTCTAGTTACATATATTTTATGAATTCTAGATTCTATTTTATGTCAGCTCTGTAAGTACGAAGTGAGAGGACAAATATCCTGGAGACACAGAGCAATGACATGTTTTCAAGTTCATTAAAAATGAACTCTCCATCTGGAATTGTTCTGTTGTTTCTTTTTGTATCTTGCCTCAGGAGAGAGCCTGATAAAATACAACCACTCTTGCGCAAAGTATGTAAATGAACCATACAGTTCCTTTTTCAGAGTATAAGGAGACTATTCGTTATCAATAGTATTAAATTGCTAATAGAAAACTAAGTATGGACTTTCTCTAATTATATTTTTCCTGACCTTTAAGGTCTATCAGGTAGCGACAGTGCCTTGTATTTGATCCCTACTCTCATTATGGTGTGGTGAAAATAAAACAAGAAATAGAAAAGAAAACCAAGGGAAGAAGGGGGTTTCACAAACAAATTAGGCATTACTTTGTCTTTATTTTTTTTAAATATATTTTTTTAATTTATGATAGTCAGAGAGAGAGAGAGAGAGAGAGAGAGAGAGAGAGGCAGAGACACAGGCAGAGGGAGAAGCAGGCTCCATGCACTGGGAGCCCGACGTGGGATTCGATCCCGGGTCTCCAGGATCGCGCCCGGGCCAAAGGCAGGCGCTAAACCGCTGCGCCACCCAGGGATCCCCTACTTTGTCTTTAGAGTCTTATGAAGATTAAGGAGAATATGGATAGGAATGAATAAATAGAATCAATTCAAGGAATATTTATTCGACCTTACAGTGCACCTGGAACTGTGGTAGGCATAGTGCATCAAAAGAAAATTTTTAAAAATTGTTGCCTGGTCTCTATCTGGTTATAAAAACAAGATAAATGTGAAAACAGCAGTGCTAGCTTTTGTAGCACCTACGCTAACCTAACCATCATGTTAATAAGCATTGCAAAATAAACATAAACAATGCTAGCTTACTTTTTTTTTAAGATTTTATTTATTTATTCATGAGAGACAGAGAGAGAGAGGAGAGAGGCAGAGACACAGGCAGAGGGAGAAGCAGGCTCCATGCACCGGGAGCCCGACGTGGGATTCGATCCTGGGTCTCCGGATCACACCCTGGCCTGCAGGCGGCGCTAAACCGCTGCGCCACCAGGGCTGCCCTAGCTTACATTTAATGAATAAGCACTGTGTTTCAGTCTGCAAGCCACTTTTCATGGATTATTTTGATTTTCACAACAGTCCTAAAGTAGATACTATTATCCTCATTTTTTTCCCCACTAACACTTAGGTCAAAAAACTTACTTAAGGTCAAATAACTAGAAGGAATTGTGGTAGGGATAAGATCCAAACCAAAGTCATTTAACTTCAGAACCAATTAATTTAATTGCTCTACTGCTTCCCAAAATTCTTGACATTGTGGAACACAATCTTTGGGGAGGGAGGCAACCCCCTGGAAGAGAATTACAGGAGAATACATTGAGAGCATTTTGAGAACTATTAACATTATTGTGGAACAATGGGAAAACCTACGAAGTGCAAGTCAGAGAAGCTTCACAGAAGTGGTCGCATTTGAGCAAGGTCTTGAAGAATGAGCAGGATTTTACCAGAACTCGGGGGGTAGAGCATCCGAAATGCAATAAAGTAAAATCACTAAGGACTGGGGTTAAAGGAAAACACTTGGGAAGGGAAGACTTTTATGCCAAACTTAGAGGAAGTATGTAAGATTTAAATAAAAGTACAGCAAAAGAGGTTTGGTGGTGGCCACATGCTAATAGCACATGGTATTCCCTCTGCTTGGGATGCTGCTCTGCCCCCTTTCTGCCTATCCAATTCTTACCTTCCAAGACTAAACTTTTTGTCAATTCCCAAACTGTCCACGTAACCAGTGGGCAAGTTATTTAGCCTCTCTGACCATGAGGAACTCCATTCAAATACCTGTCTCACAGGATAGTCATAAAAATTACGACTAAGTGTATTTGTAAATTTTCTGGCATACAGTCGGTGCACAATATTTATGAAATGCAAAAAAGTAAAAATTGCCTTGGTGTTTTGAAGGCTGAGCCCTAGGAAGTTTTGAAATGAAGGAGCCATCTGTTAGGACTTCTGAACCTTCTTACTGACATTCTCCTTAAATCCTACCAGGAATCTCTAGTTCTCTAGGATCCCTGAAGCTAAGAGGTCTTTTATATTTTAAATTTCATATACCTTGTATATTATATTTGTTAGTAGGCTTTCTCCTCCATTCATCCTTAAGCTTCTAGAAGGGCAGAAGACATTGTAGTTCTGTTTTGTACAGTTTTATACTCAGCAAAATGCCAAATAGTGTGTAGCTAATGCATATTTGTTCCATGAATGAATGATGTGTGCATTACAACTATCTGTTGTATGAATGAATGATGTTTTTTTCTGGTCTCTCCTGTTTAGACTCGTCAGCCTTACGTTCCTGGGATACAAATATGAAACAGACTTTAAGGCAGAGAATTTGTTTGCTTTCTATTCTTTTCAAAACAGAAGTGCAAAAAGCCTTAAGGTTTCCTGTGATGACATTAGCGGACAGTGACATCTGGTGGCTGCTTATAAGACAAGGCAGTTAAGTGTTGAAAGTGAATACAGTCTGTGATAAATTAGGACTCCTAGCTATAACAAGGTAAGAATGATAAATAAGGTGGTAGGCATAAAAATAAAATGTGTTTTGAATTTCCACTGTAGAAGAGTTTTTTTTCTTTTTAAATGCTGGTTGTGGGTTTTCATTTCACTGGACTTTTAAAAGAAGCACTAGATTCTTTTTTCTCTCTTCTTTAAATAGGCTCCACACCCAACGTGGAGCCCAACCAGCGGCTCCTGGGACCAAGACCTGAGCTGAGATCCAGTCTGAGGCTTAACCCACTCAGGCACATGGGCGCCCTAGGAGTAGATGCTTTCAAAAACGGCTTTTACAAAAACTGCAACACAGTGCATTAGTGGCAAAAAAAAAAAAAAAATTTTTTTTTTTTTTGATTCGGTCTGAAAAAAGATCCTGGCTTGAGATGAGGTGCAACTTCATAGCAGAAAATAAAACGATTCAAAGATGTCTGTATTTTGCAAAACCTTCCGGGTTGCAGGAAGGATTCATTCACAAAGCAGGATCCCTTTAGCGTCTGTCTGTCGGAAACTGCCGGGGGAAAGCGGCTACGTGCCCAGACCGCACCACCTGCAGCGGACAGACCCGTCTCCCCGAGAGCTCAGCGCCCGGGAAAGAAGCGATTGGGAAGGAGCGACTCCTGCGGCCTGATTGGATCGCAAGTTCGGCCTCCGATTGGTCGAGCCTGTCCGGGCCGCGGGCCGGTGGGGGGAGCGGAAGCGCGCTCTCTCAAACTTGCCGGCTGACGGCGAGGCCGGCGGGCCACTTCCGGCGTAGCCATGGCGGCCAACGCTACCACTAACCCGTCGCAGCTGCTGCCTCTAGGTAATCGCGGAGAAGGGGACCGGAGGGCTCAGGCTAAGTGTTGGGGCCCGGGCGGCTGCGGCTGAAGTAGCCCTTGGCCGAGTGTTAGGGAAATGGGATGAAGGGCCTCGGTGCTCCGCGGCTCGTCTGCCGGCTCCCGAGGGTCTGCGGCCCCGGGCCGCCCATGAGCCTCTGTGCACTGGACGCCAGGGCTGGGCGCCCTTGGACAAATTCAGGCCCCTCCCACTGCCTGCGGATAGCACACACACACCTGGAGGAGATAGAGCGCGCCACCTGTAAGCGCCACGCCGAGTGACACGAAGCCAGCTAGCGGGCGTTCAGACTGCGGTCCGAACACAGAGACAGTGACAGGAAGAAATCTCTGGTGAATACGGTTGCGCCTCTTCCGATATTTTGTAGCTAAAGAGTTGATGGAGTTCTCGGAAGTGGCCTTGTTTTGGAAGTTTTCATTCTTTGATTCCACCAACTCTTTTTGAACGCTTGCTATGTGCCAGACATTGCCCACTGAGGATAGAGTCCTGGGAAAGCAACCACAGTTGTTTCATGGGGCTTAGACTCTTTTTTTAAAAAAAAAAAATTTATTCATTCATGAGAGACATCCAGAGAGGTGGAGAAGCAGCCTCCATGCAGGGAGCCCGATGCAGGACTCGATCCTAGGACCCCAGGATCACGCCCTGGGCTGCAGGCAGGCGCCAAACCGCTGAGCCACCCGGGCTGCAGGGGGTGGGGGTGGGGCTCAGATGTTAATTATGTATTAATTATGCATTTCGTATGTTAATCAAAATCACTTAAAATAACATGAAACCACAACCGTGATGGATAAACTTCAACAAAGGAGAGGTAAGTGGTAAACAGGACGTTTTTGTTTATGCAACAGAGATAACGTACCATAAAATCTCTAAAGTTTTTGAATGAATACTTTCTCTGGTTTATCTTTCACAATAGGTAAATAACAAGTGCCAGTAGGCATTCCAATATTTGTTGAAGAAATGAACGGGTAAAATAATCTTTTTTCTCCACCCCCCCCCGCCCCCCCCTTTTTTTTTTCTT